AAAATAATTTCCCTCTGGGATTATTAAAGTATTTCTGATTCTGATTCCGATAAGTGTGAAGAAGAGGGCACATAAGGTGTTCCACATAACACAATCCCAAAATTGCAATTTGTCTGCACATCTCAAAGGAATATCACTTCATCATTTGCTGGTTTTATCATTTCGTTTTAGCTCTGATGAACTCATTTAGAGGTCTATTTTTACTCCACCACTTGCACCAAAGCCGAAGCATTAGACTGAAAATTCAGGTAAATCACCACTGTCTTGATTGCGCTAATCTCTTAAGACCGAGTCCTTTACTTTACTTCATTACATGAATATTTAATGTCCAACTGTTGCCATGGGATGTTAATCAGAGTCCAACCTTTTTAAACAGCTTTTTTGGCTTATTAGAGCCGGATAAATGTAATATCCTGCGGATGTGATTGATAATGAGGCCAGAGCCAGCTCCACTCACCCTTCTCGGCACAATCATGGAGATGGGTTCAATCAAACCCTTCAGGGTGACTAGTTTGTAGAAGCGGAACACCTCGCAGGCGGCCACATCCAGACCGTGTTTTGGCATCACACCTGCAGGTTAAAACATACGGAGACGATTGTTTTGATAATGTGTGAAAATGTAGGTTCGTACTGTCCTTATTGAAGCTTTATCTTGGCCCTCGTCAGACTCCCTTGTATCAAAAACACTAAAAAAATTAGAGTCCACTTCTTGATTTTTAACGGTTTCCTTGAAAACTTAATGCCACATTACAAAAAACATAAAATGTATCCACTAAATTAAGTCTTTTAAAGTCTTTTAAAACTATTGCGCTCCAATCTCCTTCTGATTCCCACTGTTGTGAAGATAAATCCCCCAATCGTGGGTTTTTTAAATGTCACAATAAAAGTCATATCTTACACAATATCAATAAACTGTCCATATGTAAATAGCATTTGTCAATTTTTTTGAATCCCTTTGAATCATGAAATCACAAACAATATTTATGTTACTTATGAATTTGCATATTTTTAAATAAAAATATTCTAACTAAAATAAACAGCATTTAGGCTCCTATAATGTGGTTTCGTTTTCTTTTTCAGTGGCACATCAGACACACACAGACACACACAGACACAAACAGACACAAACAGACA